GTTCTCGAACAGTTCTTCCACTAATCCAACGAATCACTGCCGTTCTGGAAGATAAGAATTCTGCCGCTGTCGCACAACAGTAAACCTCCTTTTGTTACCAACGATCAATCCCAATACCAGTTGTGAAGACCTGGGAACACTTAAGCACAACTATTTCGAGAATTCATGAAAAATCACGGTTGAGTATCATTCAACATCTGAATGAGGAGACTAGATTACAGACGCAAGTGGTAGCTAAACCCAAAGGTGAACCAGATTTTTTCTCTAAGTGACACCAGCAGGCAGAACAACGAAAACTGGAGGAAACATAGAATTCAACACCTTGCGTAAGGACGAGCTACCTAAACAAGCAAGCTCGCAACTCTTTAAAAACTGCCTAGCGTCTCCAAAAATACTTACGAACTTAGCAACCCTCAAGAACTGGGTTGTATAAAAATGTGAGAGTTCATCTTCACTTTACAACTGAAAAACATGACTGGTAGCTCATTTGCCATCAGCAATCACCCGTCAGCGGTATTGATCTGGGGAGCCCAAATCGACATTGAACCCAGTTAAGCTGAAGCTATAATTATAATCACAATGTTTTGCTTTTTATATTCTGCCTGCCATAATTTCCTCATGTGGCTCTTCAGATCAATTTCGTTGACGGGTGATTGCCGATGGCAATGATCAATAGAACTAGCTGAGAGACAGACGAAACGATGGACCCGCATGGTGCGGCGGTGAACACGTTACACCCTGGAAAGGACAACAGCGCGTTCGTTCCCTACCACTGACACCTGCGGTCCGGAGTTTTACAAATATCTCAGCATCATTAAAGTTATATTTCGCAATATATACCCTGTCGTTAAAAAGAGTAGGCAGTAAATAATAAGTTAAAACATGATTAGTGCTTCCAGTGACTTCTAGAACGTTCTAAACTCCTCATCGATAAAATTGTGCTCATATGAATTCAAGAAAATCCTGTTAAACAAAATCACCATACCCATTTTTTAATCAAAGCATACGTTTATATTTTCCTACAGATGATAACTTCTTCATTCAAGAAAACATTTCACGCAAAAACCGTTCAACGACATACGGAACTACATGGTGTCGCACCTTCAGCACTCCATACACCGCTATCTACGCTTTCCAGAATGCATTCCGATAAGTTTGTTGCCTATTTGGCTGAATAAAATGAATCGCAGCTATTAGAAATATATACGAAAATCTACCGTACTCTATTCTATGTACCAGTAAGCAGGACTCTATATTGTGTCATATGTTCCCACAGAATTCTTCGGTCGAAATAAATGATCAACACAAAATGTGATGCATTGAGGATGCACTAAGCTGTTCATTTAGGCTAATTAAGTGCTCTCAGAGAAAAGAGAAGTACATAGTCTCCTTTTAGTTGCTATCTGAATGATCACTACTAAATGCGTAGCAAAGAATTTACCGTATTCCATGTAATGTTAAGCCAGTAATCCGACAGTGTCATTTCTGTTCGTGCGCGATCGTTTCATTGATATGAATGACCACTACCAGAAAATGTGTTGCATCGAATCTACCCTAATCTCTTCATCTATCGGTAAGCGACTATTCTGAAAATGGAGAGCCGTATATACTTGCTAGAACGACGTGAATGACTGCCGCTATGAAATACGTCGTTGAGCGCAGAGTAGACAATGACCTAATTGAGCGTACGTTAAGCAGCACAACTAGAAAACTAATATTACGGTATATACACTTTGATCAAGTACTCATTCACATCAAGAGATACAGGTTTTGTCTAAGGCAACGTACATCACACATACACACATCAACCTATCATGCAAAATTCCGTAAAGACAAAAACTTTCTACATCTTCTTCTTCTTCTTTTCCAACATCGTTATCATCTTCACATAGTACGCCCGAATATAAAATCCAGACCACCAAACCTAAGAAAAGCGCGGAACAAATGCGGTAAATGCAATTAATTCCTGGGTCAGTACACGGGATATGAAGTTACCTTAAGTGGAAAAAACAGAACAGTACCGGTAATAGTAATAATGATAAAACTACATTCAAATCTATTTCTAAATGACGGTAATATGCTAATTGTGCTCTGCACAAAAAGAATCAAACGTAATTTTGTTAAGTCGAACATTAAACCCATTAATTTCAGGTGAAATACGCAGGGACTAAAAGGAAAAAGTGAAACTAACAATTGTGAAGAAAAATTCAGAAGGTTCGGGTTGTCCGAAACTCGGTTACAATTTCAACACCATCGCAGAATAAGCGATTACCGCCAGAATGTCGTAGCTAACAAAAGAGTACCACTATTCAGCAACATGGTTCATTCTTACCGAGGACGGAAAAAAATGAGTCGGAAACTTTCTCCATTGTTGATACAAGCGTATTAGGTTTCAACATAGTATAACTAAGGACTTCAATAAATTAAGGATATGTTCTCTTTAATTAGTCAATAAGGAATCATTGCAGCGTACAACCATAAGCTCTACTCCCCATAAACATACGGCTTATCATCTCATCGTTAGTAGAAAATGGTCGTAGATGTCCAACAGGAATGCACCACAAAGTTCGTACTGCAAACAGGGTTTACTGAGAAGGAGAACGATTCCACCAGCAGATACGACTTAGAATGAACTAATGCCAAGAGTCACTGGTGTCTTAGGTCTTAGTTGTGACGTAACGGCAATGTGCCTAAGCGATCCACAATAGATGGCGCGTTCCTGGGGTGTAAACGTCGGAAAACCCTAAGAAAACCAACTCGAAACTCCAAGAAATTAAAATACTACCCAACAAAAAAATTATTAGCACAATGGAAAATGTACTCCGCGCTTACGGTTCTTCCAGAAGGACATTCAAGTATGCAAGTATAACCTTCACGTGCATAGCGTGTAAAATGAAAACTGTCGAACATCTCCCCATGTGTTCGAAGTACGACTAAAATGTAAATACCATGTGCTGGAAGCATTCCATAGAATGAGAACGCATTTCCTCGACAGGGAACTCCAAAATCCCACCAAAACTACACTGGATTTTCACTGAACATTAAGGCATATAATAAAATAAATTTGCTAAAGAAAAAATGCAGCACAATACTGTGTTTGGATTGTAGAGCCGTTCCATTTGTAAATCTCCATCCTTCATAGATCAGAGCAGCAGATGATATCTTAAGTACTACATCAAGTTACAAAAGTCCGAAAAAGGTATAAGAAGAGCAAGTCGGCTCTAAAATACCTCTAGAATTTTCCTTTTTGTGAAATACTTCAGAAATCCCTGACGTGCTGCCAAAATGGCTTTTGTTTATCTTTGGCCTTAATTTTAGGCACTCAATGATACTAATCATAATGTAATAGTTATAACTTTTGAATATCTATCGGATCTTCCATGTATTAAAAACTAAGACTACTGCAGTCATTCAAATTGACCACATCATGTTCTGAAGAACTCAGCAGAAAATTTACACCTTAACACCGTTACCTTAGTCGTACTTCAAACCATATACCAGTCCCCCTTGATACGTTTGGTGATGATCGGATGGATTTTGGTGAAAGTGCACGACGGGCTGGGATGGAACGTCGTGTTACCGCACTCGCGCGCTCGCTCTCTAAACTGACCGAAACCTGTTCGAAGTTTCATTGAAGGTAGCGCTAGCCAGTTGGTCAGCCTTCTTCCAACATCAAAGAGACAATGGACAGCCGCCGATATACTCGCCATATTTGGATAAGTGGGTCGAGACGTCGTTGGTAAGTGCGAGGCATAACGATTACTGTACGGAAAGAGGATGTACGGAGAAAATTCCACTGAACATAGTGATTTGGAGGTCAGCGAAAGTGAAGTCAGACTCTCGTAGGAACACTCTGCCGCGTGAAACTACTTTGAAAATTCAAACACCTCAAGAAAAGACTGATTATAAAAATTACATGTGTGATACAATGACAATGAACCAAAAAGGGAGGATTTCTCGCAACTACCAATTTTTCTTTTCACGAAACCAATCTCTCCAATGCTTTGGCGGAAACAGGTAGCCCATGGTACACTTAGCTGACCAAGCACAATGCAGTAGGTAGGTCCTACACAGGAGGATAGGTTAGCTTTTTTCTTCGACAATTTTCTGGAAGATAAGCAAAGGAAAAATCAATACTAGGAATTGCTACTGTTCTGGAGAAAAGTTAGCCGTAAAATAACAAAAGCCCATCCGGTGCACGGAGAACAGCGACTGCACACGATGACAACGATTATTAACTAATGTCCTGGCACGGGTTTCACGAGACTACCGAAAAAATTTTCCCAACCAGATATGTACTAGTTTAATAAAAAGTGTGATAGAGGCGGCAGCATTCATCAGACGACGAGGACGGGCGATTTAAGCAATCAAGCGGATTCCTTCCAGGATTCCATGACAAATGGACGATAAATTTCGAATTGAATCAAATTCTATTTAACCCTTAGATGACATTTATTTCTAAACTTATAATGTTTTATATTAAAAAAAAAGACAGCATTAAAGGACCCTGAAGGACTATTACTATTCATCAACACTGAAAGAAATAAATTAACTTACAAAGCTATAGTGTTAAGCCAATCAAAGACAACACTCACAACCTTAAAATGCTCCAATATGATAAGAAAAATGTTGAAAAATGATAACAAACTCAGGCTAAGGTGATGAATTCCTAAGTGAGACAACTGCGGTCTACACGATTTCTTGACCTTCAGCTTAAAGCCAAAAAAATACCGTAACAGAAACCGTACCACTTTATCGATCGAATGGAGTGTCATCGGAAGAAGCGGATACATCAGTAATAGATAAAATAAAAAAGCTAAAAAAGTAAATATTGCAAGTAAGACGCAACATTAAATAACTAGTTACTGTACTACTGCAAACACTCATACAGGATGGTCCTTAGTCTTGAATATGTTGAAAATGTGTTGGGCGGAGTCTCGATTGAGGAGTGCAGTGTTAGCAAGCCGTCATGACTATTGTATTCGAAACACACTAGAACAATGTCTCTTCATAAATCCGGATTTCGAAAGGCTGTGATTGACTGGAGAGAGGATGGAGGGGACGTGGGCGTTTGGGTTGGAGAATTGCGCACCATCATGAAATTGTGTAGACATGAACTGATCGCTATCGTTTCAAGAACTGAACGACGACGGCGACGACGTCAAGCAAGTATAGAGTACGTCGAGTATAAATTACAAGCCAGCTAACCATTAACTGTAATTTGGTCAATAAGTCGCCTAACTATACGAATAAGAACGTTTACAGTAATAAGAACAAAGTCAGAAAAAGATTAAATGCAAGAAATCTGAAGGTGAAGACGTCGACGACTCCACCAATATTCCACAGTATCCATTACGTGGAGCAAGAATACTGCAAAATCTCTCCTTGTAAGAGAATTAAACCACAAGCACATAATAAACAGTAAACAACTTTAACACCCAAAATGCGACGCAGGCCTTTTGTTCTCTTCATAACTGTCGATAGTCTTTCGAAATCTACAGCAATCGAAGAGTTGAGAACTGTATCGGATTGTTGAAAATGCTGTCCTCTACTGCTGCATCTTTCTTTCCAAAATATTACCATCAACTTAGAAGTTCGTAAAAATTATAATATTAAATAGAAAAGGTATGTAAAATAAGTATTGGGCAAAATTTGAATTTATGAAAAAATCCGACTCTAAGTGGCCGTCCCGCCGACAACGAAATCTTCAGCGAGTTTAGTGTGTTCCGGTTAAAGAAATTCCACTTATTTAATCGCTTCCGTGTACAAAAAAAAAAGTCCAGAAAAAAAGAGAGACTCTTGAACACTCCAGAAAGTCAAGATTTCATCATAAATAAGAAAACTAGCATTTTATGGTAAAGTTTTTTAGGTTCCATTGGTCTCCTTTTCAAGCAACAAAGTTGACTAAAAGGGAAATATGGTTCTCTAAAGCTAAAAATAAAATTCTTTTCCTCCTAAGGATGAATTAAAATCGATTCATATTGTCCATTATGTTCTAATATTATTATTTAATAATCCCCAAAGTTTTAAAACTATTATGTCAAATGTCTGTCTTCACATAACCACAGAATAAAAAACGTGCCAACTTTTTAGCACTAATGAAAGCTTCACACACCAACATTCAACACGATTTTTCAAAACGGGATTCTTTTCAGTTATTTATTGATCTCTAAGGAAAAAAAGAAAAGCATTCATAGTTATAGATGGATGTGCAGTACTTCATTAACAATTCCATTTTGCAATCATTCTTTTCCCAAAATTGGAATTTTTCCTAATCCTTGAAAGAAATTCTACCAAAAGATGTAAATTATCTAAACTTAACAAAATTTATAAAATTAATGGAAAATTGATATAAACACTGAACTTATGAGCCTTCGTACGAGTTGTCATACTCCTTGTATACAACACTATAAAGTAACCACAGCCACTTTTCGAAGCATAGAGATCCATAACCTTACCGTATCCCAAATTGCTTCTAATTTTTCTAAAGAATACAGTTTGTTACCGTAATCATCCAGCGTTTCAACAAGCCATGAAACATTTCCGTAGCTATCCACCAAATTTTTCTTTTTCTAAGAGTAATATGGTATACAGTGAAAAACACTCTCAGTCCTAAAACATCTGGTTTCTAAGAGATGGAAGCCATCTTTATAAGCTCCGTCGTCCGTCCGTCAGAAATTCTTAGGAAACCCGACAGGTTATCGACGAAGAAAACCGAAGAGTAATCGCATACAGGAGGTTCTTAACTATTAAGTAATATTCTACTAATAGGTTATTTTTTCCACACCATATTTCCCCACTCTCTGTCCCTACCCACTGTCTTTCCTTTAATGTCTCCGTTTCTGTCTTTTCGTCTCTCCATTTCCGTCTTTCTGTCAATACCACCCAATTCCTCCTTATATCTTAGTAAAATTAAATCACATCTTTAAACAGACCTTTCCTAAGAGAAAAATGGTAGAACTGAAAGATTAACGACGTTTTACCCATGCTATATACAACATCCAAATGGTACACGTCTTAGATGAGGTTAAACTGAAAAAACTAGTAAAGTGACTTCTTCCAACGGTTTACCGCCTCATCGTGGCTGAGATGTGTTCATAGGTGACGGGCTGCGATCTACAGCGGTGAGACTCATCCTCCTGGCAGGGTCTCCAAGCCGAGGAGTCCGGCGTTTCCATCCGAAAGTCTAGCTAAGAGTAAACCAATACCAGGATCCGCCACCGTCTTGGTATCAAACTAGTCGAGTGGGGGTAAATCTCCCTGACGATCTGGGGTAAACTTTGCCCAGGCTGAGCTCGAGACTCCAGGAAACCACAATGGCCAAACCAGCAAATCTTTGAGAAAGTGGAGGTTATGCTGGAGCCCACACAGTTAGTGAGGACGGGCCATCCAAGCATCCAAGTACTTCTTACAATTTCTGATTCTCTGGATGTTGTTAAAGCTAAAATATCTTTTAGAAAACTTCAGAGTCACGAGCAGTTTTCTTATTACTCATCGTACATTTGTTCGTTTGCAAATAATAATGTAAGGGAAGAAATCTTGATATTAGAAGAAACCATGAATGAAAAAAAATGGTAGGAGTACGATTTAAAACAAAGCGTTTTCAAAACAATAAAAACACAACGTGCACGTCTGATAACCACTTGGCACGCTGGAGTAACAGAATGAGCTTATTTCAATAATTCCTCTATAAAATCATTAAACTAAAATGACGAAAAGCTCTTTTTTAACCGAAAAGAAGAGTGACTGAGGCGAACCACTCAAAGGGCAATTTTGAGGTTGCTTCAAAGAAAACTTGGTTTGGTCTACGTGGATCAATACATAGTCTACACAGTCGCCCATAAAGCTAGGATCTAATTTAAAATTCCTTATATTTTCGCGATAATATCATACTGCCCCATGTTGCTTTTTCATGTTTGAGAAGGTTTGACCGAGTTCACGCACCACTAAACTAACAAAAATCCGAACTCAAATCCTAAAACGCTTTCCCACCATTCTTCAGTCGTTTTTCTTCCTTTGGGTCGATTTTTTTCTCACCTGAATGAGATCGCGCCTAAGATTGTGGTACATCAGAATCAGAAGAGAAACGCTTTGAAATCATAGACAGAGAGAAATTACGTTATTTTTAAGAAACGTTGTGATTTTAATCATTTCTATCCTAGAAATTTTAAACAAGCGCCAAAAAAAACCTGTCGCAGCTTTTTTAAATCTCCATAAGGAAGAAAAAGAAAACCAAATAAACTTTCAATAGAACATTTTTTTTCTCTCCTTCCTTGTCATTTTACCTTCATATTCATATATTTGCTTCTAATTGGCTAAGTCACGCCCAGTTGTTATACTGTCAAAACTAGTTATAGCCCGCTTGAACTGGTTGCGATACTGTAGGAAATGTAGTCATGTGAATTACGGTAGAAGGGTGAAATGAATGTTTATAAAATGGAACTGTTGTGGACATCACTGGTGACGATACGAAAGGTCATTCTTTCCTCCTCCATATATCGACGCCGCCTATAAAAGATAAGAATGTAGGTAATATCGTTCGTCTCAATACACCCGAACCAACTGACACATTTATTCGAACATTTGTAAAGAAGGTGTAGATGAAATGATAAAATGTTGGGATCGATAGACAGAAACGCAGAAATGAAACCAGAAATCGCCTCGATATTTCGATAAAAACGATAGTTCGAAACCAAAAAAAGTTTCGCGATGAAAGGAAGAAGTTGAGCACAGAGAATACGTCCTCAGAGACTTCCGGTGAGCAGCATCTAAATCAGGACGCAAGTGTTAAGCTAATCTTTATCACAAATCACAGAAGTAGAAAGAAGTCACCATAATTGATGAGGTAGAAATGTTTCCCGAGTACCTGCGGTGGTGACGACCTGGGGCAGACTTTGGCCAGGCTGACCTCGGAAGTCCAGGGAAACACAATGGCTAAACCAGCAAAACTCCAAGGAATGGAGAGTATGCTGAGGCCCGCACAGCCAGTGCATGACAGGCCATCCATGTATCCAATTATTCAAGTAAGAAATATTTCCACAATACAAACTGAGAAAAGCACTCTAAAGTGACAAGAAGAATCTATTCCTAAGCTACAGTGACACTAGTAGTAAATCTCAAGGTAGTTTTCGCAAATTGCTGAGATTTTTCCCATAACTAGAATAGTGATGAGTTGAGAACGTGACCGGCTTAAAGAAGAAATTATGCTTTATTGAGAGAGTTAAGGTGGTCCATGAAAATTTTCATTTAATTTTCAGAGTCGTTTAGGAACAAAATTCCCAAAAGTAATGAAACAAAATCTAAATTTTTAAAATTCCAAAGGTGATCCTGACAGCCACCAACATTAACAACGCATTTGAGGATATCATCGCGTTCTGTGGGTTCCAGATGATCAGAATTTAACCCTGGTGAGACAAAAAAGCTTTTATACCGTAGGGAAAGATTTGTGCATTCTAATAATATTTGTCTAAATCAATAAAGTTCACTATGAGCTAAGAAATGTTGCCTTAAATTTGAAAGCGCCCGCTAAGCACACGCCTTTAGAGTGGAAAACAATGCACGTTAGCCCTTAAGTGTTAAGAGGTTCGTTTAGAAAACCGCAAAACTTCCTTAGAAAAACTTCCTAGTATACCTTCCAGTTCTCCCTAAAAATTGTGGAGAGTTTTTCAAGAAAGAAAAAATGTTTTAAAACTCACTGAAAAAAGAGCCTAAATCTTTCCGGATAAAGATCTCGGAGTACAATTCATGCTTCTGGTCTGTTCAACGACATTATTTGTATCGCTAGTTAGGTGAAATTATCTCGTTTGATCCAAATACTTGTAACAAGACAAACTACTAAGAAAAAAGCTAGTGTTAGCGAGAATATAAACTGGCACGGATTAGCTCCCAAGAGAGACAGACAGACATACAGACAGACAGACAGATAGACGAACAAATACACAAATAGATAGGATGACATGCAGACAGACAGATCGGGAGTGGAAGGCACCAAAAGAAGAAAAAAGACGAGGTCGAGTTTCGTGAGTAAATGCAAACTGTGGCCATTATGGAGATGAAGGAGGAGACGACGCGATTTTTTAAAACAGAACAAGGAGGCTGGACGAAAAGTGAAAAATCATGCTCTTTCTCAGAGGACGGGGTTCGAGAGACCGAGTGATGACAAACTCGCGGTTAGTCGTTGCCCGCTGCTCCCGACGGCGAAGCACCA